ATATATATTACGCTCTCTATTTGAATCACTACAGCATAGACCAAGGTTTAACCTCTGACAATGGCAGAACAATTATGTAAAACAGGTGGCCAAGTGGATGGTTCAAATACTTTTCAGATTTGCATTTGGCTTTTGGGTACCAATTGCAAACTGCAATTTGCACTGAGGTTCCAAGTTGCAAGCGTTGAGCAGCCCAGATGGCTATTAATTTTATTTGGGTCAACAGTTGCAGTGGGCTGTCCACGGAATATAATAATTAAAAAATTACAAAGACCAGGTCTTTTACGAACTAGTTCATAATATCATATTTTCGTGAAAGGGCAATATGGTCTATTAGGAAGTTTTCAACGTGAATCGGGCGATAACAATGAAAAACCGAGCGATAGCCAGCCATGGCGCCCCCGCTCACGGACGAAAGATGCGATTGCTGAACAATATATAAGTGCTCATTTCCTTGCTTCTTCGTTCTATTTTCCTCCTCTCTTCGGTATTCATATTATTGATTGACCTTCTCAGACGCGGTTTAAGAACTTGTGCTATATATAATCCCAGTATTAGTGGCATAATTCGATCAATTTACCTCCATAAGGTTTTAGTTGAGCAGTAGTGTTTCATCTACAAATTTAAAATTTGAAAACAAATGGCACCTAGCAGGAGGATGAGGCAGCAGGCCCCGAAACCAGAAATGAGCAACAATGTGAGAGTGAGGCTCCACATCAAACGAGTGAAAGCGGAGATGGAAAAGATACGAGAAGATCAACAACGCTTAAGAGAGGAGCAAAGCAAAATAAGAGGAAGGTCTGGAGAGATTGAAAGTCAATTGGATCTCCTCAAAATGGAAACTGAAATGATTATGAAGCAAACAGCAAGCACTCAAATTAAGCTCCTTGTCATGTTCAAGATCTTGAAAGCCAGGGCAGGTGGCTATTCCGCTGAAGCTGCTAGGCTCACTCACTTTCTTCGGTTTGTTTCTCCAAGGCCAAGCCCATGATTCTCATGTTACAGAGTACTATTTAACCTGGTACTTACTCTGTTTTCGACCTTGTAATTTGCAGTGAGTATGTTGCCAAGGAAAGAGCAAATGCAAGCTTGGTTACAGGGAAGAAGAAACATCCATAGAAAACTCCCCAACCCGAAGCAGGCAAAATATACGCAAGAGACATTGCGTGTGGAGGCAATCATTAAAACCAGTATGCTTTTGATAAGTTGTACTAGCAGCATGTTTTCCTGCACCCCTCCCCAAGTGAACTTCCTGCCGTAAACGTTTTAATCTGTTTTCTCCACAATAAATTGCCTGTGAAACTATTTATAAATATTATGAAACGAGAAGGCCTTTGTTCAGACCCTCGCATCTCGTGTTTAAAGTGTTTAAAATGTTCAAAGTATTGTTATGGGATTCCGTTTCTCACATTTAATAGAAAGATCACTTATACAGGATATACATACGATGGAGTTAACTAACTTTTATTGAAAGATCAAATATGAAGAAAAATTATGTATAAAATATAAATAATTAAATATAATACACAAGATTAATAATTTCTTCTTGTATAATTAATATTGTTTAAAAATTAAATACTCAAAGGTAATTTTCTTTTAACTAAATATAAAGCATAAACCACAAAAAAAAAATATCTTGTATAATCAAGATTAATAAAAAAATGATATATTGGTGAAATTTTAAGTAACAATTAATAATACAATATTAATTTTAAGCAACAAATAATAATACAATGCTACAATACATATTTAACAATGACAATAATAATATTATAAATAGAGAAAGAGAGATGAACAAAACTTTACTTCTTTATAATTTTACAATGAAAGGACAAAAGAGAAGAGAAAAAGAACAAAAAGAGATAAAAAGAGATGTGAAGAAACTTTAGAAAGGGAAATATTTAAGAGTTAGAGTAAAGTTAAATAGATTTGTAAAGTCATTTATTATTTTTTATTTGTATTAATATTTTAATAAAAAATTATTTTAGGGACCCATTAATATATATATATATATATATATATATAACATATTGTACTAATAATTTATTGAAAAATTATTTTGAGACTCATTAAAAAATTTATGTAATATATAAATTTTTAAAATTTTTGCAGTAAAAGGAACGCTCCACCCTTGGGTACACATGTTGGGCGCAACACATATCAACTCAAGTTCAAAATACACACACAGATTAAATAGTAAATTCTTGCGGAGAATCATCACAATATAATCTATCTAAGCCAAATAAAAATAATATAAATCAGTAGATATAGCAGGCAACAACCAAAAATAAAGAACACCAAATTTACGTGTCCTCCAATTCAAAATACACACAAAGATCAAACAGCAAACTCATGCCAACAATCACAACAATATAATCTATCTAAAGTCAAAAAAAAAAAATCAGCAAATAAAGCAAGCAACTATCAAAATTAAAGGACATCAAATATACATAAAAAATTGTCTAGTACAAACGAAAATATCACAAGAAAAAATTCGGTTAAAATCCACCATAAAAAGTATGAAAATTACAAGATTCAATATCTGAAGTCTTTTGCCAAAACTCAAGATTCATAATTATTGAAAGAATACATCAAAGTTACCCTTGTAAGAAAATATCACAAATTCTCATCGAATTTGATAAAGTGTAACGATTCTCCTTGACCAAGACACTGTATACCAACCAAAAGCAGACCAATAATGCTCTTTTTTGAAAAAAAAAAACCAAATAATTAACTTGTTGATATATGTCTTTGAGCCAATTAGATTGGTCAAGGAATATATATTATTATTTAATACATATTTAATCGTATAATTTTATGTGATAGAGGTCTTTTTTCATGTTAGCGCAATAATAAGGAGTTATTAAGTACTAATTGGATGAAGCCCATGAAACATAAAGGCCTTGCAAGAGAATTAAAAAGTTGTTATAATTATGAGATTGCTATGTATCAAAGTCATGTTCTTAAAATTATTCCTGGTCATTGTATTGTCAAGACAGGGTATTGACAACGCTCAAAGATTGATACATGTTAAGCCTCCTTACTTGAGAAGTAAGCAATTGATCTCATAGATTGAAGTATACGGGATACCTAAAGATAACATGTAGGTGCTTGTTAAAGAACAAGTTTACTGAACATGATCCACTATGAGAACTCTATTTGATATTTCACTCAAGTGTCTATGGAAAATATTTTCATGTGATAGTCGTACAACTATTCCTTAGACATAAGACACCAGGTCATCTTGTATGGATAATAACATACTTTGATTTCACCCCTATGGGTTTAAAAGGAACCAAATACCTAAACAAGGTGTTTTTAGGTATGCCATGAAGCATGCAAAGGTAAATGAGTGGTCAAAAGAGGATTCATCATCTCAAGTGATATGAGAGGATGTATCTTACTTGTTCTCAATTATTGATTAACTTGTATAAAGTCTTTGGCCAAAGCATGATGAATTTGAGAAAAGTTAGTTTTCTAAATTCATAAGGTTAGTCATGAATTATGAGAGCTAATATGAAATGTCATAAGTAGACACCGAGCCATACTTAATGATATATCTGGGATATTTGATGAAAAGATTATATAGCATTGAGAGGCTTATCACTGAAGGGCTTTGTCAAATTCTTTAATTGAATCTCTAACTTTTGGGTGGTCATGATGCATTGCTAGATGTCACTCATGATCTATAAATATAAATTAATTATCTAATTAATATTTGATTCTGATTTATATTTATAGCTAACATGTTAAACGCCTAATGGGTCACACACATTAAGTGACATGATTGGGATTAAATAAGAATAATTAATTAAGTTGAACTTAATTGAAATAAATCAAAATAAAGCGAGAAATTAATTAAGTTCTCAAAGACTTAATTAAATTAAAATACAACTGTTGTGTTTAGGTTTACAAATTAGATTGGCTATAAAAATATGTTATGTTAGCAATCTAAAACTTGAAACCCAAAAAATACTTCCCAGCCATTTCATAAAATAAGAAAAGAAAAATAGTTTTCTTTGTCTGACAAAAATAAGATTTGGCAAGAATTTTGATCCTTTTGTTTAGAAACAAAACTTACTAGCACAAGTAAAATCCTACCTTGGAGAAAGTCCTATTCAATCACAGTGTGGATTACTATTAGAGGCCAAACACTTGGGTGGTTGAAGATTTGACAAATCATAAAGGTGAAGAAGCAAAGATTTTTGGATTTAATTGGCTCGTGATTACGATATCTAGAGTAAAGTATGTAACTTTTAAACCTATGAGTGTTTATAATTTATTTGAAAGTTACATGAAAAACATAAACATTGATCCTGTAGGATTCGACTATTTCTCTAATTAAATATTAATTTATTTTTTCACTGCATTATATTTTAATTTATTGATTATTTTTATGTTTGAGCATAAGATCGAATTCCAACATAACCATGCCTATTTTTCTCTTACTCTCTCCTTGGAGCACAGATTCTTACCATTCTTGTTTGGCGCAACCCTCTCTTTCTTTTTTCTCCAGCTAGTGCTATGCTTTTCTTTTCTTAAAACCTTTATCAATTAAATGACGTTAATGACCAATAGGTAAGCGGAAAGGCACTAAAGCCCATTCTAGGCCATTGAACCCCTATAAATATAATAATCTCTCCCTTCAACCCCATCAGGAGGAGATTAAGTACTCAATTCCTCTCTTAGAGTCCATCTCAGCTTGCTTGTCACAAGGCTCAAGCTTTTTCCTAAGAATTATCTTGATCAATAGTGTTATTATCTTTGTAAATCGTTTTCAAAAGCATCATCCGTTCCTTAATCATCGGGCATAATCAAAGGCACCTTAGCTCGATGTGCTTTGTACGATTGTGGTACGTAATGTTCTTGCTCAAATCATTAACATTTTGGCTATTATAATACACCACATATGCATCTTGCTTCAACTCCAATTCTTGAATATATTTATTCACTCAAAGCATCTTCTTCCCAACTTCATTTGTGATAATGTAATCTGCCCGGTGGTTGATAAGGCAATTCACATTTTTGTAGTTTGAAGTGCTATATACAACTATCTTTATAAAAGTAAAAAAACACTGAAAGTAGATTTCTTACCATCAAGGTCAGCTACCATATCTACATTTGTGAAACCCTCAAGAATGGGTTTTAAATTCCTTAAACTCAAGCACAAAATTAAATACCTCTCAAGTATTTGAAAATCCATTTAATAACATCTTAGTGAACCTTTCCAAGGTTTGAAAGAAATCTAGTCACTACACCAACTATATGAGCAATGTCAAGTCGAGTGCAAACCATAAGATATATCAATGAACTAACTACAAAAGAGTAAGGAATTCCCATAATATGTTTCTCTTCTTCTTTATTAATTGGACAATACCTTTTGCTTAACTTGAAGTGGGTGGCAAGATGAGTACTAACTAGTTTAGCATTATTAAAGTTGAACTTTTCAAGCACCTGTTCAACATACCTTTCTTGTGATAGCCACAACTTTCCAACTCTCCTATCTTGAATGATATCAATTACAAGTATTCATATGATCAATCTTAAGTCTTTCATATCAAATAACTTAGATAACTTCTTCTTCAACCTGCTAATTATCATCACATCTTGTCTAACAACTAACACAACATCAACATATAACAAGAGTATAAGGAATTTACAATTAGGGAATGTCTTAATGTAAGCAAAAGAATATGAACATTTCCTCATGTACTTTTAACTCATCATAAATGAATCTTTCACTTCAAAACCCTTTGGTTGTTCCATATAGATCTCTTCATGCAAGTCACTATGCAAAAATTTACACTTCATATTAAATGACCAATCTCAAGGTTTCAACTAGTTGCTAATTCCAATACAACTTAAATAGAACTCATATTCATAATTAGAGAGAAGATCTCATTAAGATCGATACTTTTTTTATCAAAGCCTTTCAAAACCAAACGAGCTTTATACCTCACTAGCATTTCACTATCATTTTTCAATGGTCATTTACCTTTTAAAAGCTCAACCAACTCATAAGTACCATTTTTAGCAAAGAATTCATGTCTTCTTGCTTTGCTTCTAACAAAAAATTCTTATTTTTATGAAATTGCACTTCTTGAAAACTCTTTGGCTTCCTTTTATTAGTAATTAAAATATAATTAGAACTATGATACCTAAAGGACGGTCGATGTACTCTAATAGATCTCCAACTTTAGATTTTGTGCAAGGTTGCTCTTTTTGCTTAACTCTCACTATATTTGGCTGAACAATGTCATTACAAGAATTTGACTCATCACTAACTATAGATGGCTTATTTGTACCCTTAAACTCTATTTCTCCTGAATTT